TCGGATCCTCCAAAAGTAGTGCATTTTTGGAGGATTTGAGACGGGTACGACAGCATTTTGGAGAGTCCCTGCAACATAGCTTCCTATATGCCTGTATTTGCATCCTCTTTGAATATTCATCTGTCCTTGGAGAAAAGAAAACAGAAATTCTATTCAGATCTTAAATATAGTTTATTCACGGTAACATTTGTATAGAAGGAATACTCTTTACAATGAACTATCGAATATCAAAATAGAAGGAATACTCTTTACCATCTTAAAAATAAGATTTGACTCATAAGCTGAGAAGTATCCACTAGTCTTTAGCAGGTGTCTTATTTCCTGCCTCTATCCTTTCAGTTGGTATAGATTTTTCATCATAAAACCAGTTTCCTGAAATTTTATATCGAACTCTTCTTGCAGGCACTGAACCATAATACAGGATCTGGATATGGTGCACCCGAGGTTGCTATGTCTGGGCAGTTTACCATAAAGAGTGACGTGTACAGCTTTGGAGTGGTTATGTTAGAACTTCTTACCGGACGAAAACCTTTTGATGGGTAATGTTATTTAGCACCCCATCATATTATCTAAATTTCTTGAAGAAGCAAGATGAAAATTTAGAGCTTTTCAAAATTTTCAGCATGTGTTATGTTCTTTTAATGCAGCGGTAGATCAAGATCTGAACAATCTCTAGTTAGATGGGCAACACCTCAGCTGCATGACATTGATGCCCTGGCTAAGATGGTTGATCCAGCACTCGAGGGGCTCTATCCTGTTAAATCTTTATCACGCTTTGCTGATGTAATAGCTCTCTGTGTCCAGGTAATATTTCGAACTGGAAGTGAGTGTGCTTCATAGATCTGCTTTTAGTTTTCATTAATCTAGCTGAATCACTCAACATTATCTCAATGTACCTCTTATTTTCGTGGCAGCCTGAGCCCGAGTTCAGGCCACCTATGTCGGAAGTGGTTGAAGCATTAGTTAGGCTAGTGCAACGAGCAAACATGAGCAAGAGGACATTTGGTGTTGATCAGGCTAGTCCAAGGGGTGAAGCAGATGCTCAGGACTATGAACCATAGTTTCCATGCGACGTTGAATACTCAGCATGATGCCTATTCTAACACACGTGGAGGTGTCTTTTTTTTTCTATTCTTTGCGTTTATGAGAAACAACTGATCCTGTTGTTTTGCAGACTTGGGGTGTGTTGTACCAATACGAGATGCTAAAATCTGTTCATAGTGCATAATTTATTTTTTCCAGTTCTTTTCCTCTATTTGAACTTCTTCTACCTTCTAATTGTTCTATAGCGGGATTAAAGAAATAATATCATTTTCATACTTTCATCATCACTTTAGAAACTATGATCTGATAGCTTGTTCTACCTTCTAATTGTTCTATAGCCTGCTTGACAAAATCTAACAATAATTGTCCATTGCTTCCTCAACAACATGTGAACTTGAGACTTCTAAATCAGTTGATCACGCCTTGCATGGCCCCACTTACGGACTTGCATTAAATTATAATGTAGTCAGCCTTATGAGATCTCAAGAAAAATAAGGACAAATCCACTGGGGCCTTTTACCGCTCTGAACTAGCATACCCAGTTTAGTAGTGTTCAACTTAAAAGTCATAAAAAGTGTACTAATCAACATGAACTCCAACAAATGTAAGTCGAAAACATTGGGTTGAGCCTCTTCCTCCTGATGGAGACTGACCAGTTGTCAGCAAATTGACCCATTGGCGGAGCGAGATCTGAAGCTCCCAACAACGATCAATCTCCCACTTGTGTTTCTATATTTCGGTTTGCTGCCAGTACAAATTGAAACACTTATATAATATGATTCGATTGTGTATACGCCCTTTGTATTTTAAAATAAAATACTTGATCCTCCTACATAATAGTAACTCAGTGTATTTTCATTGTATAAAGGAGTGGAGTGTTTTAGTTTTAAAAATACAGGTGTTTAAGCGCTAGAACCTCTTCTGAACCAAATCTTGCAAATAGAAAAGTGTGCATTCTGAACCAAATCTTGCAAATGGATCGACTTGCCGAAGAATCCCCTCCTTCGGATGATTTACTTCTCTCTAGAGCAAATCTTCAGATGGATCTTGAGGAGATTTTCAAACAGGAAGAGATATCTTGGAGACAAAAGTCTAGGTGTCTATGGCTGAAGCAAGGGGACAACTACACGGTTTTTTTTTCACAAGATGGCAAACTCGCACGGGAGACACAACCAAATTGACAAGCTGGAAGTGGGGGGAGTTTCTAAAAACAAAGATATCATCACAAATGAGATTCTTAGTTTTTATGAGGCACTTTACAGGGAGAATGAGCCTTGGAGACCACACCGGGAGTATCATAATGCCCCTTGTATCTCTAGTGATGAAAAGGAGAGGCTGCATAGAGCTTTTACAGAAGGAGAGATCTTATGCATCATTAAAAGTTGTGAAAGCGACAAAGCTCCAGGACTGGATGGTTTTTCTATGGGGTTCTACAAAAGGTGTTGGCCGATTCTTAAAGATGATTTGTTGAATGCTCTCAACTATTTCCACAACCATGAGGTATTTGAGAGAAGTTTGAACTGTTCTTACATTGCTCTCATCTCTAAGAAAATTAGTGCAAATGAACTTAAAGATTATAGACCTATCAGTTTGATAGGCAGTTTCTACAAGATTCTCTTCAAAGCTTTGGCAAATAGACTTAAAGTAGTGATTCCGAAGTTAATCAGCTCTTCTCAGATGGCTTTTCTCAGCGACATGAACATTACTGATGCTGCTTTGATCGCTAATGAATGCTTGGATTCAAGGGTTAAGTTAGGAAAGTCGGGGATCATTTGTAAGCTTGACATAGAGAAAGCTTTCGACCATGTTAACTGGAAGTTTTTACTGTGTATGATGAGTCAAATGGGTTTTAGCGTCAAATGGATTAACTAGATGAGATTTTGCATTTCTTCAGTAAAATTTTCTGTTCTAATAAATGGTACTCCACGGGGTTTTTTCTCTTCACAAAGAGGACTTAGGCAAGGAGATCCGCTTTCTCCGTTTCTCTTTATTCTAGTCATGGAGGGGCTTAGCAACATGTTACACAAAGCTTCACAAGTAAACTGGATTTCGGGCTTCCACGCAGACAATAAAGGTTTGGGGAATATTAAAATTTCTCACGTTTTATACGCTGATGACATCTTAATTTTATGTGATGCGGAGGAACATCAGGTCTTAATCTTGAATGATTTTGTCTTTGTTTGAATCGGTGTCGGGCTTGCACATAAACTTTTTAAAAAGTTCCATGTTTTCGGTGAATATTGTGCCAAATATCAGTCAACTTGCAACATTATTGCAATGCAACCACGGTTCATTTCCTACAAAATATCTGGGGTTACCTTTAGGAGCCAAATACAAATCAGTGTCAATTTGGAATGAGGTCCTTGAGAAGATGGAAAAAAGGTTGGCGAATTGGAAGAGACAATATCTCTCCCTGGGTGGTAGAATAACTTTAATCAACAGTGTGCTTGACGCACTACCCACTTACACCATGTTTCTATTTCCGGCTCCTTCTTCAGTATTGAAACGCATGGACAAATTAAGGAGAGATTTTCTTTGGAATGGCAATAAACTATCAAAGCCTATTTGCCTTCTAAATTGGAAAACAATCATCAAAGACAAAAGGAAGGGGGGTCTGGGAATTAAAACCCTTAAGAATCATAACGAAAGTCTTCTAATTTAGTGGCATTGGAGATTCAACATGGAAGAAAAGGCACTTTGGAGGAGAACTTTGGTGGAAAAGTTTTCGTTGAACAATCCATGGCGCAGCAAAGAGTCTAGAGTGCCTCATGGCACCGGTTTATGGAAACATATTAGAGGGATTGGAACAAGTTTGAGTTAAACATGGGTTTATTTTGCCGTCAATGGAAGGAAAATCAGGTTTTGCGAAGATGCATGGTTGGGTCATACGCCACTAAAAGACCAATTTTCAGATTTTTATAATCTATCCTTGCGTCACAATGGGGCAATTGCAGATTTTTGTACATCGCAAGACCGCAATTTGAGTCTTAGAAGGAATATTAATGATTGAGAAATGGACAGGGTAGGCCTCTTGCTATAAATGCTAAGCAACACTGTTTTAGATCACAACAAAATGGACTCTAGCAGTTGGAAGGGTCACCCCAAGGGCATTTTTTCAGTTAAAAGTTACAATATTCTGGGGTTTTGCAAAAGTGAGTTATGGCCTTGGAAAAAAATATGGTACAACATGGCACCTTTAAAGGTTTCTTGCTTCTCTTGGATTGTGGCTAAGGAGGCATGCCTCACAGAAAACAATCTCCAGAAGAGGGGTTTCAAGCTGTGCAGCAGATGTCCTTTATGTGAAGAACAATATGAAGATGTTACCCATCTTTTCTTGCATTGCAAGGTTACAAGCCAGTTATGGAACATGTTCTTTTCAATATTTGGTATGTCTTGGGCCATGCCTAACTCCATTTCAGAAATGCTGAAGTGCTGGACGAGGGAGGGTCTATGCAAGAAAGCTCAAAAGACCTGGAACACTGTTCCTCAAGTTATCTGGTGGTCCATCTGGCTTGAAAGAAACAGTGGAATTTTGGAAGGCAAAAGAAGAAATTTATAGTGCCTTAAACTTAATTGCATTTTGTTGATCGCTTTTTGGTGCAAACTGGCTTTTGCACCAGAGTGTAGATGATATTCTAGACACAATTGCTGATTTGCACAACCTGTAATTACGCCTGTTGCACTAGCTTAGTGCAAATATTTATATAATAGATTATTTACCCATAAAAAAAAAAGCGCTAGAACCTCTTCAGTAAGCCGATGTTAATATGATGTGTTATTAAAGCCAGGTAAGTGTGGAACACACTTACAAGCGTCTAAAATTCAACAAGCAATTAATCGGCATAATGCTAAGGTGGGGATAATTCCCTTTAAATTTTGCAAGGATTACCATTAGTATAAGAAGCACGCGGATTTTGAAATATAAGGAGTTTTGTTTTTGCATCCATTACATGTGGAAGGTTTAATCCTCTATATAAAAAGTTTTAAGTATATAATTTTAAATACAATATTATCGCTGAGTCATACTACAAGGTTTTCAGAATAACCTACTCAACAAAAAAAAAAATCAATATGCACATTACAAATCTATGAATGCAAGCAAGAAATGAAATTGAGAAGCTGAAACAAAGAGTTATCAGAGAAATACAGTTAATAGTTTTGGTACCGACAACAGATCATCAGACATTACAATGCATAAGTGCAGCAAATCCTGCATCTTCCAGGCAGTAAACACGAGCAGCCAGAAATTCATAATTTTCATGGTCAAATCAAAGCCCCTCGTTCCTGTTCATTGCCCCATGTTTCCTTCTTCAAGAGGCAAAAAAGAGGCTCAATCAATTATAGACCATGTACTTCGGTGTTGCACTGAACTTCTGATACCCTTTAATGACCTTATTGACAGCATCTAAAAAGTCTTTCTCCGTAACAGTTTTCCTTCTCGCTCGAATAGCATACATTCCAGCCTCCGTGCACACGCTTCTAATGTCAGCTCCTGGAACAAAAAGAAACATAGAATATTAGGGTGTATCTCCGTCTGCCTATACACGTATACCTGCTTACTGATAAGAGACTTTATCCAATGTGATAACTAAAGTAAACCCCTCTTCTCTAAGTTATCAACAATCCCTCTTACAACAACAAAAAACCCAGTATAATACCACAAGTGGGGCATCAACAATTCCTCTTGTTTTTGAAATGCCATTAATAATGTAATTGATATCCAGAACTCCATTTGTCGTTGTGTCATATTCCTAGCATTATAGAGCCATGAAGTTAGTAACGATGTTTTTTGCCTGCCAAAATTACCCTTCTGCTTCAAATACACTATACTCAACCAATGAATCACTGTCTACCACACATTTCCCCTTTGATGCTGCAACCTCAACTTCAGTTTTAAGTAGTGCATCAGTAGCACACGGAGATATATGTTATTTGCAATGTGATTGCTGCTGATATGACACATCCCACATTATGCCTACATGGCAATTAATCTAAGTTCTCCCACAACATTAAAGCCCTTCAAACTCCCAATAAACTCCCAATATGGCAATTAACTATTGTTAATTATAGTTAATTGCCATAGAACAAATAGAGATATCAGAATCAGTTATCAAGAAAGACAGCAACCATGTCACAGAATGACAGAAGACTAGGATTGAGAATTAAAAAAGTTAAAGGACCAAATTTATATTATAGAGTTCAAAAAAAATTGAAGTTCATTACACATCATAATAGTGGAGGTAAAAAAGAACATTAATATACTAGTTAATAACTAGGTCTAATAAAGAAAATATCCAACCTTGGAAAAAAGGGAAGAAATATCCAACCTGATTTAAGTAGATTATTAGGAGAATTTGATTTCTTTAAACTTCTAATGGTTAATCCTGTAAATTTTCTGACAAAACCTAAAATAGGAAGTTGGCACTTGAATAGGTGATGAAGCTAGTATGACAATAGTATGATATAGCACAAACATCCGCTCTAATAGAATAGTCTTTATGCTAGCAAAATAAGAGAGGCAGACATTACAATCAGAGACACCGTTAAGGCCCATCATCAAAAGGTCAGCTGTATTATTGTATAAACAAGAAGTCGAACATACTACTCATATGTATGAGACATTACCTGTAGAGTTAGGACAGAGACGGGCCAACAGTTCAAACCGAATATCCCGCTCACAGTTCATTGTGCGCGTATGGATCTTAAATATCTGTGTCCTACTCTCCAGATCAGGCAGACCAAATTCAACTTTGCGATCCAATCGTCCAGGACGTAATAAAGCTGGATCAAGTGTATCAGGTCTGCAAACAAGAGGAGGGGGTTAGAGCTTGAGCACAATGATAACAAGCTGTGAAACATAGAGATCATCATATTAAAAGATGAAATAGTTCAGACAACCAAAAGAGCACAAGAGAAGGAACAACATAGAGACAATGAGAAAAAATACATCAGGAGGGCCACAAGCCCACAAGGGACTTCAGATGTTCCAGCCAGATGTGCCTTTTCAGTAGCAAACATATAGGTAGTCAACTTAAAAACATGCAGAGGAAAGGGATTCATATGTCGCTGTGCAACACTTATTGGACCAATAGCTGCAATTTTTTGAATTGGAAAAAAAAAAAAATTGCAGCTATTGGTCTGCAATTTTTAATCACCAAAGCTTGAAATAACATAAACAAACCAACAAGAAAAAGCAGACGAGTGTACCAGAATATACATTTGCAACATATAGGCAAACTAACCTATTGGTTGCCATGAGAACTTTAATATTCCCTCGAGCATCAAAACCATCAAGCTGGTTCACAATTTCGAGCATGGTTCGTTGAACCTCATTGTCTCCCCCCACACCATCATCAAATCGTGCACCTCCAATGGCGTCTACTTCATCAAAAAATACAATGCAGGCCTTCTTGGAGCGTGCCATCTATCATATCAAAGCACTAGTCAAGAATCAATGCTACATTAAAATTGCTTAATAGAGTTCGACAATAAGAGTGTATCTTTGCCTAAGGATTTGGTTCAATGGTGAAGACGTAGCCAAGTCGGGTGGATTGGGCGTATGTCACGAGTTTGAACCCTGTCAGAGACACGATTTTTGCTATTTAAGTGAGAACAGGGGAGAGTGGCAGGCCATTACTCTCCCGAGTTTTGCACAGTGGGCCAATTGGATTGGTCCAGCTAACTCAACAAGGAATTCCTCAGTTATTGAAAAAATAATATGATGAGAGAGCATCTAACCTGGAATAATTCACGAACCATTCTAGCCCCCTCACCAACATATTTCTGAACAAGCTCACTACCAATGACGCGAATGAAGCATGCATCAGTACGATTGGCAACTGCTCTGGCAAGCAGTGTCTTCCCAGTACCAGGAGGACCATAGCAGAGAACACCCTTAGGGGGATCAATTCCAAGTTTGACAAATTTTTCAGGGTGAAGCATGGGAAGCTCAACAACCTGTTGTTAATTTAAGCAAGCGAAGGAACACAAACCAATTTGTCAAACGTCAACCAAAGAGGAAAAAGGGAAAAGAAAAGGAACACCACTCTGAAATACAACAAAATACTGTACAATCATCATCACCTCTCGCATCTTTTCAATTTGCTCCTTGCATCCTCCAACATCATTATATGTCACATCAGGTTTTTCCTCGACAGTCATCATTGTGACACTTGGATCAATTTTGGGGGGCAACGGAATCTGAATTTGATATTTATTCCGATCAACACTGCAAAATTAACAAAATGGCCAAACTAAGAGCCAATTAACTTTTAAAGGAGCAGAAGACTCGAGTTAATTTAAAATTGTTACACACAGAAACAGATATTCCCCCTAAAGTTCTTTGTTCCACCTAAGAGCTAAAGAACATCTACACTAGGCAAAGAAGAAGAAGAGGCAGAAGAAATACCCGACTCGCATGCCTTCTTCTATATCAGTTGGCGAAACTTTATCACCCAATCCAACAACAAACTGCAGTTACGACATAAGCACATTCAAACGAGTTAATTATGATCCACTGCAAAAATAGATCCAACCAACAGTACTGCAACACTTCTCTCATGGCAATACATCAGATACTCAAAAAAATAAAGGAAACTACAGAGCACAAAGCCTTCAGGCTAAAGACAATAACAAGGGAAAATATCCTGTTAATAAATTCAGTGTAGTTTCTTAGACGAACAGGAAGATGACTGATAGATATCCAATCATGAAGCATCAAACTTCTTATTTATGTCTTGCTGCTAACTAAAATATGCTGCTTACTACAGCTTAAGCAGAGTTCTATATCTCACGATCAGTTTGCAAAGAGCTTCTTAGACAAACTGCCTCCAAACACCAACACAAATTGAATTACAGTTAGAAATGAAGGTAATACAGCCAATACAATATTTAAAAAAACAAGATAACAGACCTTTGCGATTTGCTTGACGTTTATAACATATTTTGCATCTTCAGTATTGGGGCTAATTATCTTTGTACACCTAGCCACCTGCTCCAAAGATTTAGTTACAGCTTCAACGTATCTGACTAACAAGAATTATGCACTTTTCATTTCCAGAAAACCAAACCTGAAGAGGTTGCTCCTCCTGCATCATCTGTTTATCAGAAACTAGATCCCATTGACTTGGTGCAGCTAACCCAGTATCAGATTCCTTAATACCTGCAGATATTCAAAATTAGAATTCACCATACATTTATAGGAACTGTGCAAAAGAAAAAGTAGGAAAACTCATCACACCTTTTAACAGAATCAAAATAAATCCCAGAAATAAGGGATAAGAAAAGTTCTCTTTTTTTCCTATTCTTTCTTGCTAGCTCCCAAACAATGAAGACCAAATTCGAGGCAAATGAGCAGTATTATGCAATTAGAGGCACCATTATTTCAACAACAAAGAACAAAACTAAGATATACAAATACATACCACATAAATCATTTATCTTTTTTGCCATTTCCTTGATTTCCTTCTCAGCTTTCTTTATGCTTGTTGAATAAGGCCCCAAACCCTGCAAAAATCATTTTAATAATTTAATAAAAGATGCGATCTTAATAAAATGAACAGAAACTAGCTAGTGTATTTTTTTTAAAAAAATGAATAAAGGGGATTCTCCAAAAGGTGAACCTTTGGAGAAAAGGCACCAAACTGTAATTGAAATGGGAAACAAAAAGTAGTCAACTTTTCTTTCTTCGAACTCAGTATACATATGACTTGGTATGCTCCTCTGCTTGTACTGGCATACCACAAGTATATATATAGATATGAGATCACACTCTTTTTACATGAATAGCTTTCATGCACATGTCTATCCAAACAATGACATTTTATCGCGAGAACCGTATAACCCTATCACCTGATTATGCCATATCCTCGTGTAAATAACCCTCCAAGATGTAAGATAATTTAGTTCAGGTAATGGAGTAATAGAATCAAAGATAGCTCCAATATATACTTTTACGAATATATGTGTATCACATACACCACTGCCAGCTCCTTTCTACTTATACCAAGAATACATCAACGAAGTCCTAAAATGTATGCATTCATAAATGACCCGTAATCACAAATTAAAGTAGGAGACAGTCAAAATGTTCCTCCTAGTTCTAACAAGCATCATTTCATCCAAGGCAACTTAGTTAACTACTACCGGTTGTGATAACCAAAAATTTATACAAGGGGATTCGAAAAAAGTTCTAGGATGTCGCAGTTGGGATTTAAAACATATGATCTAAAGCAACTTTTGAACCCGCTTTACTGTTACACTTGAAATTTTCTTCATGTCAAGGGGATGCCACGGCGCACAGATAACCAAGAAAAATTGTTTTTACCCCATTTGCACAGTGTAATTTCTTGACAAAGGGGGTTCGGTACCCCTTGACTCTACTTAGATTCGCCACAGTTCACCCCCAGCTTCCTGTCAAAACGAAACTTATTTGCACTCTACATAAGACCCGCTAAACAGATCACAGATACATAAACTTTCCACTTTCCTTCCTGTCCCAGCTCCCAGAAACAAGCTGAATAAGTGGCACATTAGCTACAATTGATGGAGCTAAGGAACTGGTATAATGCTGAAAACATCAAACAAGGACCAAAAATCCTAAATTCAGAGACATGATTATATCAATATATCACCAGGTAATCTAGAGGTTAAAAATCAGTAGCAACAGAGTGATACGAAAAATTGGGCTTTACATAAGGAGAAAGAAAAGTGCGTACATAAGTCTTGAGAAGAGCAATATCATCTTCATCAAGAGGCGGAGGGTTCTTGTCGTCCTTGATCTCATCCTCGATATCTGCTGCGGGTGGCATCTTCTTCTACTTCAGAATCAGAAGCAAAAGTCTCTTTGTTTTCTTGAGAAACAAGCAGAGAACAAAAGTAGTACTTACCAGCAAATTGCCGTTTTACTTTGACGACCCATAAGACCCGAGACGTGTTAAATCCAATGGACTGCCCAAGTTTATGACATTGAAGTTGATGACCCTGTGGATCTTACTAACTCATGAACACAAAAGACACGTCATCTCTTAATGGGTTTTTATTAAAATTAATAACATGAAAGAAGTGTAAAAACTTCATTTTTTGCTTTCTATCTCCTGTAAGGCTTTTCTTATAAATTTTGTTGAATCTTCCAATTTTTGTCTATTCACCTTATGATATATATCCTACTAAATTTTAGAGGGATGAAACTCTTCACATATATTTATTCCTACAAATTGTCAATCAAAAGCACACTAAATTGCTTGTGTATTATAATACTTCTTGAATATATATTGGAACAATTATCAACTTCTTTTGGTAACTAATTATTTTGCAAATTGTACTTTTTTCTTTGTATATAATTATGTGGGTATTTTAAATTGGATAAGAATTATATATGTCTCTATTTTGTATATTATGGTGTTTTCTTCGGTTTTATCTTACTTTTCAGGTATATGAAATTTAGTCAAATTTATTTTTTGCTTTTCAGTTTATGGTGTTTACATTTGAATTTTTGTGTTTATGTTACCACAGTTGAATCAAATGAGAAAATCAGAAGGAAAAAGGCCGAAAAAAGCTCAAGCTCAGGCTGGTAAAGGCAAGACTTAAGGGAAAAAGATAATAGTCTGACTCCTAAGTGTTATCATTTCAATTTTTACAAAGCTACTGAGATGTAGTATGAATGAAAAAAAGCCCTCAGTCACATTGCCATTAGAGGAAGCTACTAGATTGAAATGTCAAAACATTGGAGTATTTATTAGTTCATCTATATGTTGAGCTAGAAGGTAATAAACTGTAAATTTGTTTTGTCTTCGCTCGATGTATATCAATTCTTGCTCTTTTTCTAAGGTAGTCACATTTATATTGTATTCTTCAGATGGATTTTTGAACGAAATATAAATAGAGTTTGAAAGAAATACAACTGTTTTGAACGAAAAGAAACAGTAAAATAGGGAAAATAGAAGGGGACTCCAAGGTCTACAGACGCCAGCAGATCTACCTCGAGTTTCCAATGAGCAAATCCAAGCTGCTACGCCTCACGAACAGCTAGGGCCGGTACCAAAGTCTGCACAAGAAGTGCAGAGTGTAGTATGAGTACAACCGACCTCATGTACTCATAAGTGTCAAGCCTAACCTCGATGAAATAGTGACAAGGCTATGACAAGACACCCACGTGATAAACCTGTGCAAATAACAATATATGTATAAGATAACAACAAATAAAAGCTAAACATATACTATTGGGAGGGGGACATGCTAAAGGGGATACAAGATACGAGAGATACAATGGAAATGATAACCAGAACAGTCAATACGCCTTTAACCAGTAAAAACAATTAAGCACAGTGAAGAAAATTGCACGGCATCACCCTTCGTGCTTTTACTCTCAACATCACAATGAAACAATGATATTGAACGGCATCACCCTTCGTGCATTAACTCTCATAACATGACACGACATCACCCTTCATGCATTAACACTCACAATATGGCACAGCATCACCCTTCGTGCATTAACTCTCATAACATGACACGACATCACCCTTCATGCATTAACACTCACAATATGGCACAGCATCACCCTTCGTGCATTAACACTCTCTCTTACCACATAACAATGAACAAGTAATAACAGGGAGATAAGATCAAAAAGTACAAGCCTTACTTCAATAACGGTTCCACAATACCAATCTCAACTTTGGAATCAATACTCAACTATTACAAAAGCCCATAAACACAGTAAGAACGATCAATTTAACAAATAAAAACGATAATTGCAAGGAGCAAGTCCCACCCTCATGCTTTAACCTGACAACAACGCATAAGTACTCGTCACCTCACATATACATTGTACCCAATATCTAAACATGTAGCAAATAGACAAATAAGTCCTAATCCCTCAAGTCAAGGTTAACCACGACACTTACCTCGCCCCAAAGGTCCACTCAAATCTCAACCACAACTTTGCCTTTCAAACAAGCCTCCGAATTAATAGAATCTAGCAAATTACCAACCAAACGATTCAAATTAAGCCTTAGGAACTGCCCACGATTGCAAAGGATTCAATTTAGGTCATTATTGAAAAAGTCAACAAAAGTCAACTCCCGGACTCGCTTGGCCCAAACCCGAAATTCGGACCAAAACCCGATTATCCATTCACCCCTGAGTCTGGTTATGTAATTTATTTTGGAATTCGACCTCAATTTGAGGTCTAAATCCACATTTTAGAAAAATCCCTAATTCTACCCAAACCCCCAATTTCCACCATGAAAACACTAGATTTTAGGTTGAAATCTTAGAAAATGTAATGAAAGATTGAAAGAAAATAGGTTAGAATCACTTACCAATGATTTGGGGAAGAAGTGCTCTTGGGAAAATCGCCTATAGGGTTTCTAAGTTTGAAAATTTGAGAGAATGAATAAAAATCTCATTTCGCAGCTATTTGATCAGTCACAGATGTCGCACTTGCGACCTGGATTTCGCAAATGCGAGCCCCGCAAATGTGAAGAAACAGTCGCAAAAGCAAAGTCCTCCCATCTCTGCTTTCATCGCATTTGCAATGACTTGTTCGCAAATGCAAACATATTGATCTTCCGCATTTGCGACCAGATTGATCGCAAATGCAACTAAGCCTGTCCAAGCTCACTTCACAAATGCGAAGTGTTGGTCGCAAATGTGAACTCTGGCCTCCCCGCAATTGCGACCTCTTGATCGCAAATGCGAACTCATGATGACCCAGGTACTCTTCGCAAATGCGTTCTCGCAAATGTGAGCCTGTCGGGATTGGGGAATGTTCGCAAATGCGAACACTGATCTCGCAATTGCGAGATCAGACACCAGTTACCAGAAATTGCAGAACCAGCTGAGTTTTTTAAGTCCAAACCACTTCGTAGCCTATCCGAAACTCACCCGAGCTCTCGGGCTCTAAACCAAATATGTACACAAGTCTAAAAACATCATACGAACTTGCTCGCGCGATCAAATTGCCAAAATAACACCTAGAACTACGAACTGAGCATCAAATCAAAGGAAATTTTCAAGAAAACTCATGAACTTTTAATTTCACAACCGGACGTTCGAATCACGTCAAACCAACTCTGCTTCTCACCAAATTTGACAGACAAATCACAAATATAGTAATGAACCTATATTGGGTTGCGAAACCAAAATACGGACCCGATATCAAAAAATCAAACATTGGTCAAACTTTCAAAGTCATTAAGCTTTTAAACATTTAAATTTCAACAAAGTGCGATAACTCGGGCTAGGGACTTCCGAATTCGATTTCAGACATACGTCCAAGTCCCAAATCATAACACGGATCTATCGGGACCGTCAAAACACGAATCTGGGTCTGTTTGCTCAAAACATTGACCGAAGTCAACTCAAATGGATTTTAAGGTAAAATTTTCATATTTTCTTAGTTTTTAACATAAAAGCTTTCCGAAAAAATACACAGATTGTGCACGCATATCGAGGAGGGTTAAGATGAGGTATTTAAGGCTTGAAAGCACATAATTAGGTTCTAAAACATAAGATGACGTATCGGGTCATCACAAGCAATTTGCCAATTCTCATATTATAAGCGAGTTTTTAGGGTTGAGTTAAATCAAAGATCTATATTTTATAAAATAAAAAAAGAAGAGAGAAAGTGATACCTTTCACATATATAAAAAGCTTTTATCTAGTACTATACAAATCTCATCTTGTAAAAGCGTAAAGGAGATTTTCAAAAATGTAACTATAGACTGTCTTTTAGTTTCCTTCGTTTAGTTGCAGCTCTACAACATATGGTCTTTGTAGTTAACACGTAGTTTGCGTTTTAGTATTTCTTTTAAGTTTCTTTTCCTGAAAAATTAATGCGTTTACGAAGAAAAAAAACTAATGCGTTGGGAGATTTCTCTGAAGATTGCTATGTTTTTGGGGTATTTTTCGGTTGAGTATCTTTTTATAACTGAAAAATACAAAATTTGTGTGTTATAATTGAGTTTGTTAAGTTATATTAGGAGTCTATTATGTTAATTGATTCACTTTCCGTTTTAAAAACAATGTAATCCCCTATTTCACACCGTGAATACTGTCGAATATAATAATATGTCCAGCTGTAATCTCATGTTTCACTCCATGAATACAGTCGAATATACTCGAATACAACAATTGATTAGCTGGACTTCCCTGATTCACGCCTATTTTTGCTATTGTATTCATGAATACAATAGCTTAAATATATCAAATACATCTTATAACCACAGAAAAGGTATCTATAATCCGTAATATAGCAATAGGTATCTATAGATGGCTAATTACTACTAAAAGATAGTGCTTTATGAAAATTTCTCTTCTATATTCCTTATTAATGCAATAAGAAAAGTGTAAAGAGTTTCCAACAACAGGTAACAAAGTGGAGTAGTAATTTTTAGTGGTGGAATAAATTCCATAATATGGATGAAGACATTTTAGTAATTTTTCAGTGAAAGAGTAGGTACATTTTCTCTTGCTATTTTATTTTTATTCACTGTGATTTAGTTTATTTTTGAACTTTTAGAAAAACAAGAAATTTAATTTAAAAGGAAATATTTTAAGTATATGTTATTTATCGAGAATTAATTACTTCTAAGATTGTATGTTAAAATATTTTATTGTCTAACATCAATGTGAACTGTTCTAATTCTAATGAAAAAATAATACTTACTATTTGTTAGTTAATCAATTCATAGAATTCAATTTTTATGCATATATACGAAACTTCCCATCTCTTCTGTTTTGACTAAATACACAAAAAAATAGTAGTCATTCTATAAATTTAAGTTTTTCAAAACCGCGCAAAGCG